AAACGGTGTTTTAACGATGGTTTGCGATCGTTCCTCCATTTTTTCGACATTTTTGATACGCCATTCGATAGAGCGTCAAAAATCATACAAATAATAGCGTCTTCTAATTATCGAAAAATGGCGAAAATATCGAAAACTAGCGTCTCGAGGCGTCTATTTTTCGATGCTTATGAAAACACATCGAGAAGACGCCAGAAAAATAGCGAAAATATCCAAAAACGCTCCTCCTGTTTTTCCCTCCTGGCATAGTACCGGGGTATTTTTTGGGATACCCTGTAGTCCGTTGCTAATTGTCGTAGCGCCGACTAATATTTAGGATTAGCGGGGCAATGCTTCGAGTGACTCCAGAAAACGCCCACCCCCCAGCCGGACCCCAACTTTTATATCTCGGCTGCCTGTTCGTTTACAGGTGTGTAAACTATACCAAAATACTCGCCAGAGCAATACAAACAGTTTGGCATACTTCACACACCTGTAGATGAACAGGGCGCCGAGATACAAAAGTTGGGGGCCGGCTGGGGAAGTGGGGTATCTGGAGTCTTACCAATACTTCTTCAGGTCCACATCGACGGCATATCGAGGGATCCACGCTGCCGATGGCATCATCTCTGGACCACCTTCATGCACCGTTATGATGATGCCCACTCAGCAGTAAGCACAGTTTTTTTTGCGGCGGCACAGGCACCGAATACTGCATGGATTCCTATTCAAACGCCAGCTTTCAGATCCTTATTAACTTCCAACGACCGACTTATGCAGATCCGGTTGGTTTTTGGGAAACCAATTTCCTGGACACAGCTCGACTAACGGTTCTGCACTGTTAGCGGGGGGAACAAATTTTCCGCGTGATACACCCCTATAACAAAATAAAATCATTCTTTTCGCATTTTACAGAGTTTTTCGATAGAAAAACAATATAGGCAATAATCAAAATCTGCGAAAAGCGAGACTTTTCAGATCTTCAAAATTTAAAAAATATGATAAAAGTTCCTATTATAAAAAATATAAAAAAAGCTATTAAAAACACTATGAAAAACATCATATATCCTCAACAGGTGGTATATGTTATCGGTGGAGCAATAAAAGGTGTTTGGACCCCCCTGCTAACAGTCCGGAATCGAAAAAACCAAATGAATATGATTATTATTTTTGCAGCGCGTTAACAGTGAAGCCGATGCTGCTCGGGCGCCGATCAAGCGTATCCGGCTTCGCCAGCGCACCAAGCGAGACGAAGATGCGAACGTGTTCATCTACTACCCGATCAACCCCGCCTACAACCCCAAGTGCAGCCGGGAAGACTTTGACAAATTGGTTTGTAGTCATCTTTTCTGCTAGAGCTTTGGTTTTGGACTGCGCAAGAACTGGCCATGGCGTCGATGAAGCTCCGTTTTGGGTGTTACGAAGGGACTTGGTGCGACGAGCAGAATGCTTTTCCTAGGTATCATTACAATCCACGTGCTGCGATCATTCACTATCCCTTTGAAGTGAAATCCTGGCCAACGACTCGTTGGCCCGCATCTGCTACCCGCGCCCGTTGAAGACCTACATTCTTGGCCAGGGCAGGTACAAGCCGGTGAGTGTCGTTTTTTTGAGATATGATGAGCTGACAAGTCATCCCCGAAAAATTCGAGCCTAAATCCCGACAAGCAAAATCCGGAAAGTGAAAATGCCGACAGTCCAAACAGCGAAAGCTAAAAGCCAACATCCCGACAGCCATATTCGCGACAACCAAAATATAAAATCTGAAGTTTCTGGTTGTCGGGATTTTGGCGTTTTCCCCACCCCGGAAATATCCTGCCTTTTTCAGTGGTGCACCGAACCTCACGCCAATCCGTTTGAGCCGAAGAATGTGGCGAGCTGGGGATGTATGATACTGCCGTTCTGCAAGCTGGACCAGCCCGGAGAATTTGATGAGTGAGTCTGCTGCACAGTACACCCATTATCGGTTCTTTCGCATTATCGGGGGGGGGGACAAAAATTTTCTTTACGCAATCGATTTTTCGACCAAAACGACTTCTTAAAAATTTTTTGAAAGTTTTTGATGGATTTTCCAGCTAAAGTATAGTTTTATTTTACTAAAACGTTCTTAAAATACTTCCGATTAATAAGGCTTGAGCTTAGGCCTAGGCTTAGGATTCGGTTTGGCCCAGGATTCGGCTTACTAGGGAATGGTTTCGGGCGGACATCGGACCTAGATATATGACTATGTGCATCTTGTAGATCTCGACGAAGGACGAATCGGATTGATGTAACTTTTAGCTGCCAACGCCTTTAAATAAAAAAGTTGCAACGATTTAAATTTGTCTGGCATGGCTTCATAAGCCCTCCCGGCAACCCCGTCACCGTGGTCCAGTGGCCTAGTGATGGAGTAGTGAGCTGGGGAATCTAACGAGGGTTCGAACCCGCTCACGATTTTTATTTTTTTGCTTTTTGTCCGAGCTTCCTCATTACATTCGAAGGCCGTGAATAACTTTTTGTACATTATTTATACACCAAGAAACGTTCCTAGCGATAATACAGCTTCGGGCGAAAAATTAATTTTTTGGTCCTGTTGGCTGGTGCCTGGCTCATGCATCGAAAATATTTTGGAGGAGTGGGCAAAATTGTGGTCACGTTTCTTACAACGTTCTTAGCGTACCCCAAGTTCCATGACAAATATTTTATTTTCTCCTGAACTAGCCTTACTATGGTTACGTTTACGCTTACGTTTTTTACCAATTTCCAAATTTTCGCAAAAAAATTTCGGTATTATCGCTAGGAACGTTTCTTATGAAGCCATGCCAGAAAAATTTAAATCGTTGTAACTTTTTTATTTAAAGGCGTTGGCAGCTAAAAGTTACATCAATCGATTCGTCTCGTCGAGATCTACAAGATGTACATACTCACATATCTAGGTCGGATGCCCGCCCGAAACCATTCCCTAGTTAGGCTGAGGCATGGACCTACTAGGCCATCTAGACCTGGCAGAACCCCGATAATGCACAAGAACCCCAATACCCGCTCTATTTTCAGACAAAAATACCTGCGACCTGTCAGCGACAACGGAGACCTGCTGAACTGCATGGATATTTGTCCAAGGAATGAAAATGGCCGTGGATTGACGGAGAAACCGGATTGTCGACCCATCCCTAGCAATCCGGAAAAAGACTATTTCGGTGTCCTCGGCATTACGGTAGAAATCACGCCTGATTCTTTAAAATATTCTTTAAAGGAGAAGCTGGATTGGTGCGACGTGGAGAAGTCGCGTCGCCGAGACCCGTGGTCACTCAACCCACCGTGCAATCCGATCCCGCAATGTCGAGGAAATGTCGACGGGCGTGCTGTGGGTTTTCTGGGTGGGATCTACTAGGAAATGATCATCTACTAGGAGACAATTGCCGTATTTCAGCCGGATACGAGGGATTGGCGCAAGAATCTGCTCTACTACAAGAATGATGTTGCCGGTATCCCATGTGTAGTCTACAAACAGTGCAGTGCTTTGACGGAAGAGGAGAGGAAGGAGGTGAGAGACGTGGGGATAGCTTGGCTTAAGCTCAGGCTGAAGATTAGGCTTAGATTTAGGCTTAGCTTAGGCTTAGCTTGGGCTTAGCTCAGGCTTGTGCTTAGGCTTAGGTCCGTCTTACACTTAGGCAGAGATTTAAGCTTAACTTAGGCTTGGCTTCGGCTCCGGCTTGGGCATGGCCTAGGCTTAACTTAAGCTTTGGCTTCAGCTTAGGCTTAGGTTAAGCTTAGGCTTGGGCTTATGCTTAGGCTTAGGGCTGGAGGGAGATAAACATTTTCTCCAGTTCCACTGCGTCGGCTCGGTCCAGACAACAAGCACGACAAAAGCCTCTACGACCACAACGGCAAAGACTACGGCAAAGACAACGACCGAGAAACCGAAAGACGGACTGGGGGATGAGGTCATCTTGATTGCAGGTAGAATGGTTGGCCGTACTTGCTCAAATGACTTCTTTAGCCCTGGGTGGCGGACTCTTGGTGTTCATCGTCGTGATCATCATCGTGCTGTGCTTCTGTCTGAAGAAGAAAGACCAGGGCCCGAAAGGAAGCAAGCCGATTGTCGATGACATGGTGGGTCGATAAGTCGTTTTGTTGTACAGGTTGTCTCGAGAAAATGCCCTGCCCTAGCTCCCTATGCTTCCGTTTTTGCGATTTAGGTATGCATCGAAATCTGTCGAAAACGCCGGTCTTTTTCCCTCTCTCCGTCTCACCGATTTTCAAAATTCCGAAATGTTTGGCTCGATTTTCGCCATTTTTTAGGCGAAAGAACACGCTTTTTTGGCAAAAACTCCACACCACCAAACGAAAATTTTTCGAAGTTACCTTTAAGAAGTAAAAAAACGCAAAAAACGTTTATTTTTAAGCTTCGTACTGCTTTCCTGAGTGGTTGTGAGCGGCTTGAACTGCTAGAAATCGTTGTAATTGCTCAAAATCACAAATGATCATAAAATCCTGCCCACTCATACAACCCCTCCCCTTGAGGTGATTGAAAAAAATAGAACCCCGGGGTTCTATTAGTGGTAATACAGTATCTGTTTTGCAGATGAACGTCGGCGTTGGCACGGCGGTCGTCGACCTCGATGTGGTGCCAATCAGCAACGCCGAGGAGGGTCCATCGGAGGCTAGCACTGCAAGCACTGGCGGAAGGTGTAAGTGCTTTGCGATACTATCACGAATGTCACCTATTTTTCAGAATCCGACTACTCGTCTCCACCTACTCGATCCAACGATGGGCATCGCCATCACTCGTCTACCACTGACACCACTCGATGCATCACAAAAAAGCCCTTCTATAAGCCCCGCCCCTCCTCTATGCCTCGCTGTCTTTTTTTGTAAATCTAAATTTGTCCATCATTCTGTTTGCCATCGTGTGTAGTATGTACCTCTGTCCCTTCGTAATAAATCGGGTGCTTGGGCAGTCATCAAACGACACTCCACTGCTTGGCGGAGAGAACAAGAAGCAGAAAATGCGGTCAGGTTAGCATTCTGAGGTGAGCCCAAGATTACCTGGTACAAAATTTTACGCTGATACCCAGTATGTGTTTTCAGAAATTGCGGAATGACAATGATAGGAAAAGTAGCACCAATTTTAAGATACTACAAGCAAAAAGACCCTAACTTGAATATTACCAGAAAAATCTTTCGGAGGGGCTAGATAGCGGGTTTTACTCAGAAAAACAAAAGTTTTCAGATACAGCTAGCTTAAAGTCCATTAGTTTAAAGTCAGAACACTTTTATTGCGAGTTAAATGAGAAATATAATGTTTATTATATTGTATTTATACGTTAACCAAGAAAAACCAAAACAAATTATAACAGAAAACTCCGAGATCTTCCTACGTCTTTGGTCTAAAACAGGAGCACGCACGCATTATGTGGAAGCCGTCTGTACCATAGGCCATCCCGTGGTCACTAAGGACAAAGTTTCTGGGTTGGAAGTAAACCGTCATGAAATACCATTGCAGAACGAAAGCTTCTAAACTACAAAAAGCGGAAAACCTACTCGAAGAGCGTAATGATTTCCTTGAGGCCGAAGCGCTTCTGCAAGGCGAATGTTCTTTTGTCAGAGTGGAAAGGTGCTTTGAATTTTTGGCTGATGAGACTACCGTCGTCGTGGTCGTCAAAAACACTTGGGTTCCGCAGTGACACCCAACAGTACTCATCTGGACGCTGGTAGAGGAAATGAGCGTGCACTGAAAACCTTTGCGAATAGCCTTAAGAAAGAGCCCATGCTTGGTCGTTTAAAGCTTTACCGCCTCTGGCTGCGCTTCCTGAGGGTAGTCGAATTTCCTGCGCTGTTAAGGAGATATCAAAGTGCGTCTTGGCATCAGTAACCTGTAGATTTTTCGCTAGGGTCCATGAAATGAGCCAACCTGGGCATATGCCTCGAAAAATTCATCGTGCACATCGACCCACGGCATTTTCATGAAGGGCGACTGCGCATTGTTGAAGGCTTTCCAGAACGCAGAGAGCTGGATTGTTTGCATACGGTAGGAGATGAAAAATATGATACTTGAACTAGCTCATGTGTATCCGGATCTCGGCTCTCCTGGACGATTCCTAGGCCAGTCAACACCCCACCATGGAAATATATCTGTAATGTGCATTATGGGTTGTTTTTATGCGACCTTTTCCGAATTTCACTATGCCTATTTCGACTACCCCGTTCTCGATAACCAATCTTGAACGTCTACGGGATTCCTTCAATTGTTGGTTAATTATTATTCAACGCCCCAAACCAAATCCAGCAACTGCGAGCTTCACTATCTTTCCTTTTTATTAAGTACTGGTATTGGCGCCATATTTGGAAACATTTTCGCTTTCTACTGCGGTAATCCTTCGAAATTTGTGAAAATTGAAAATGGTGAATGGAAAAAAAACCGTAAATTCTGGTCACCTGTCAGATAGTGCGCTTGGCCTAAATACATTAATTCAATATATCATTCGAATAGAACTTCTCTCTATCAGCTATGTAGGCCAGTTAAAATGGATGACAACTCACAATAAAAAGCAAAAAGAACAACATTATTAAAAATTACTTCTCGGGGGTGAAAAATGACTCTAAAACTTCAGTATCTCGAGTTCTAATGAACAGTAGCGGATTTCACCAATATAGCAATGAGCAGCATCGCCGAATATCTTAGGATGAAAACTTACAGATAATATTGTGAGTCCCGGTTAATCCCGGCTCCCCAATTAGTTCATACCTTTGTCCTTGCATTCATGTGATTGCCGATCAGACTAATTTTGTCTTCAGGTGTGTCCTTGACACTGAATTTTCCATTTACGAATGCGAAGATGATCATCCTAAAATTGCGATGGATATGTAAGGGACCGGGCAGCCTGGCGATCGTCGCCACTACCATGGTGTAAAACCGACCCTTGATAAAAGACCGTGTGCCCATTTTGTAGCGATTTTTCGCACCAGCAAACCACACGATCTTGGCGATCAATCTAAACGGAAACATCATCGGAGCATCCATTGTTACCGTGTTACCTCCACATATCTGCCGGTTTTCAGGCTGGTCGCTAGGGCACATATTTAGGAGCGAAACCCAATCAACAACATCAACCGCCGGAAAGTAATCAGCCTTGTATTTTGTGCCGTGGATTCGCAGATCCAGCGTTTCAAAACCTTCGCTGGTTATAAGCACAAGCAGCGTCCTTATCGCAGGTTTGCCATTTTCTGTTAGAATGTAGGGCTACAAAATTCAAAAGTTGACGAAGCTGAACACCGACCTTAAGGAAGACACCGTCATAGCATTCAAGTGCAAATGTGTGATGGCTAGCATTCACCAGAGTTTCTGAAAGCGAGCGGATTCGATTCAGGGCGCATCGAGTTCTGCCACCCAAGGGGTCAGAAAGGGGACGGTTGCTCATGCAAGGATGGAAAAAAGGACTCAGAAAATGAAAGGGTTCTTCCAAAAGTGTCACAGCAATTTGATTGCGTTGCTAAATAACGCAAATTATTTCAGGAAAATGTAATTTTTGTCGGACGGTTGGTGCATGTGGGTATGCCTAACCAGTCACCCAATTGGTGAATCTCCAGATTAATTCTTCAATTTTAACCGGGTTGAAAAGCCGCTTCGCGACTTTTGAACCGAATTCCGATCACTTCCGTTTCGCCTAAACCCGTTTGCCTTAAACCATATCAGCTTAAACCCGTTTGCGCCTAAAGCCCATTCCGCCTAAATCCTATTTCGCCTAAAGTCATCGCCTAAGGCTTCCGCTTAAACCCATTTCGCCTAAATTTAGGTCATCTTCATAAATAAATTTTTGACCAAAAAGTCGGCAATTTTCGAAAGCTTTATAATAGTTTCGTAAACTTTTAAAAAGTCTCCTTGAAAGTCTTCATTAAAAGCTATGTAATTGGCTTCACAACGTGGTTTTTGACAAGGAATTTGCAAAATTATGTTTAGAAAATCCTAAAACACTTACAAGTATTTCGAAAAATGGTGATTTTTTGGTCAAAGATGCAGCAGTGCAAACCGTCAATAATTTAGGCGAAATGGGTTTAGGCGAAACGGCTTTTAGGCGATATGGGCTTTAGGTGAAATGGGATTTAGGCTAAATGGGCTTTAGGCGAAACGGGTTTTAGGCGATATGGGTTTAGGCGAAACGGGTTTAGGCGAAACGGATTTAGGCGAACTGGCCGTCACCCTTTGAAACCCTAGCCCCGTCTGATCCTATGAGAGTTCATCATTTGCATAATTCTCCCGAGGGTAAAAGAATAAGAAGCTCTCCCCCACTTTCCATTATATAGGCTGCCGCCACTTCCGGCATATGCTAAGCGTTTCCTAAAAAGAGGAGCGTCGCTTTTTTCATGAAAAACCTAATTTTAATGTCGAAACTCGTGGATTTTGTAATATCTAATATGTGTGCAGTTATCTTGAAACCATTACGCTCCTAATGACATACTAAAAATACAATTAACTCTTCCGTATATCGAGATATCCTCCGGACAACCTGACGGAAGGTGCATGAAAATGCACACACACAGACTATTTTTATATATAGTTGGATAGTTGGATATTTGGTACGGCGATAATGGTTAAGATTGCATGTGGATTTTTCAACTGTGAATAGGGGCTAGAGAAAATGGAGCGCGGTCGGGGACGGGATAAACGCTGGGTGCGTTGACCAGACTACTAAAAAGGTTGGTCTTAACGACTTGTTAGCCTCTTTAATATCCCGGACCCAACCTGTCTGCAAATGCAAGAACTAATTCTAACCTTTTGTAGGATCGTACAACAAAATCGAAACGGAGCTTCCCAAGACGGCAATCTAAAATCAAATCAGATTTATGTATAAACCCCACTAGCGTAAGACCATGTTCCTGAATGTGATGCGTCACAATTTTATGAAGTGGTTGTTGGATGATCGGGCGTTTCAGTGGCGGCGTATTGTGGATAAATTCGCCGTAGGCCGCCTTTTTTTGAACATCCATGTTCGTGAACCAAAACTACCGTGAACTTCGCTTTCACTCCGTAGAATGTACGTACTCCGCAGTAGTCGTCCGGCGATTGCGCCGCAACTCGTCTAAATATAATTGACTTCCAAAAAAGCGCTTTAAGTTGTTTAAGCTTGTAAAAACCATTTCCTGCGTCAGAGCAATTGCAGGTTTAACTTTGGTCTGTCAACGTTTTTTGAGCCCCTACTGTCGCCAGCCTTTAATTGAATCAACACTCACAACCCGAACATGCTCTCCTTGGATTCGAAGCTGTTCTGGTAATCCTTGACCGAAGCAAACACTAAGTGTCCTTTTTCGGCGTCATACAACATCACAGAAATTGCCTGCAAAAAAAGGTAAATCCCGTCTCTGAATTTACAAACCCGTCTACAATACGGGTTCAGGCCACGACCATAGCCAAATACCTAAAAATGGGTCTAACCAGTTACGATGAGGATTCTACCACACTGCCGTGGATGCCAGCCGGGATGAATGCCTCCGCACGGAACATGTGATCAATTTTCGTCCAATGTTGTGGGGTGAAATAAAAATTTTCTAAGAAATTTGATAGGATTCCTCGCATTTAACTAACTGTTTTTAAAGGTACATTTGTAGGTCACAATGGTCGCATTACCAAGCAATAGCGTCAATACTTGGCTTAGAGGGTTGTAGCATAAATCAGCCACTTGGGAGTGTCTGCAAAAAAAACTACGTTAATGGGTTCGAAAACGGCAAACGCACAAACTGGACCAAGTATTCTTGTCTAGGCACTCTACGGGCCTGAAAAATTTATACACCGATTATCTTG